AAAAATTATGGCATAGATCGCCCAACTAACAATTATCACTCCTATTAGAGTTGCAAGAATGATTATACAGTATTCCTTAAACAGCATTGAATACTGTAAGAACATTAGCAAAACCCTCTTAGAACAGCTATACAAGCGGAATGGGCACACCTAATAGGACACTTCAGTCATTTAAGAGGTTGTATAAGGGCTACAGGTAACAATTATGAAACAAAAGTGTAAGCCTCTTGCAGCTGCTATAGGACATTTGCGTCAGTGCAAGATTCAGTTTTTGTCAACTATACAACTATTCTCTTACGTGATTCTACTTTATTGAAACCAAACTATTTCCTGTGTATTGTATAGACGAAGTGAAGAATATATAACTAACACATTACAGTCATCTTGTTTAATTACATATCGGAAATTGTGAATTTCATACACAGGTATATGATAAACTTCTACACTTTGGTATAGGGCTATTGAATTACTTGCGCAGCAAATTTTATTGTGATTATCGTGCAAATTAGTTACCCAGTTTCTACGGGCATCGTATTTGATTCATATTTTGACAATGATCAAAAGTGTGTCTAGATTTTTAAGATGGAAAACTGAACTTATCTGCGTTAAATCTTCCACAAGTCCTATATTTAGACACTAATGTTTATAACTTTATATCTGTAATTTTGAACTGAAACATAATTATTTAATATTAAATAGAGGAATAAATGTTTGCCCAATATGGCGGGTGGTTGTGTACAATCATGGCATCGTCCATGTTGTCTTTAGGTTATTAGAATACTTTGGTGTTGCCCGCAGGTGTTATACAACAATTTGACAAATGTCTGAAATGAAATACCGACAGAGTCGAATGATTTACCCAGAATTTGTACCAGATCTATATCTTCTGTTTGAACAGTTGATAAAACCTTTTGAACCGATATGCATGCGTTGTCTTAAAACATTGGTTATGGCATTTTAACAAAAATATGACAGCAGAAAGTTAGGTTATGGTGAAGTTGTTTACCAACATATTTAGCATATGTAACAGTTGTATAAGTGCTTCCGTTTTTGAGCAATTTGTTGGCTAAGGTAGTAAATTGCACAGCAAAACAACAAGGCTCGGGTTTGTTTTATAAACGTTACCATGAATGCCACAACACAACCCTTTTGACTAACTTGCAAATATGCCGTATAAAATAGTTGTATAAACGTTTATGCAACAGTTGAAAATTTGTGTTGTATAACTATACTACAAGAATATTTTAAACACCACATTTTGGAGCAAATATGTTGCAGAAAGCAACTTTGCATTCCACACAACATTAAGCCAGCATTTTGGTGTTCAGGCAATAACAATAGAGAGCTTTTATGGCTGAACGGTTCTTTTACCAAAAGCTTATACCACTACTTTGCTAGTTGGGCGTTCGGCTTTGCTATTATTTTATTCATATCTACCTAATAAAAGGCAGTTTGTTACATGTAGCGGTTACAACTCTTATGAGTATGCTTGCACATCGGGGGTGCTGCATTGCTTTTCACATTATTTTTAAATAACATGTGAGATACTCTCAAATATAAGAAACTTCTTTGTGCTGACGATTTGAAAATTTTCCTATATATTACAAGTACGTAGGACTGACACACCTCACACTTGGAATTGAATAAAAAGTGTAACGTAGTAAGTTTTACCTGAAGGAAAGGTACGTTCGTTTTCGACTACACTAGGCGATGGGGTACTTTCTCGTTGTCAGAATACTACTTTGCTTTTGAGTCCATTTGGTCTTTTGTTGAGCTTATCTCAATAATGGTTAATGCCGCATCAAAGGCGTATTGATTCATAATGAGAAACTGTCGGTCTTTAACTCATTTTAAGGCTCTTACAATAATGTATTTGACTTTTGTCCGCTCAAGAAACTTACTTTTAGATTTAAATTAGTCGAAAGACGAAAATATAACTTAATTTAAGCTAGTATCGATTAATTTGTGCCCCGTTTGACAACTAGAAATACCACCTTTAATTGTGGGAGAACTGGAACAGATTTGCTTCGAGAGTCGCCCCTATGAACTATGAGTGAAAAATTCAAATTCTGCTATTTGCGATACACATTTTGACAGTAGGTATCTCAGAAATACTGAATTATGATCGTTTGTACTTGGGCAGAGAAAAAAGTACTTCTCCTATCCGAAATCATTCAAGCAATACCTTTTCTCATTTAAGTTCAATCATTAATTTCTCATTAAGTATATTAATTGATAATATCTCCAGTGGCTTATGTAGTAAGCCTATTAAAGAGAATTTACTTTCTTTCGACAAACTTCGGCTACAAGACCCACAAATACTGGCTTAAACTCCTGTCGTTTCGCTCGTCATTGACAAAGTGTTTGCAAAGTTCCATGCCTGAAGCCATAAAAACTCAAATATGGACATTATACCCGCTTTTATGGCGGAATCGACTCTAAAGTTTTTAATTTAATGTATAATGTAGATGTGACTCCGTGTTAGGAAGCAGGAGAAGCAAATGCGCTTTCCCATGAATTCATCACCATAAAATAAGGATACAGACACATCGTCGCATGAATATTTCTACGTGTGGAAATAGAACTGTGCGACTTTAATGTTTGCTTTCGCCCAAAAATTCATTCCGCATGAGTAATTCTGTTTGCATGGGTATGCGTGGAATGGAATGATGAGGCGCTGTTTACATGGAAAACCGCATTTAGAAACACATTTGGAGGAGCAAAACCGCATATGAATGTCTTGATTAATTTAGTGTAAGAAGTTTGTACCACAGTGGAACAAGGTAGAGAAGATTGAATTTGAAATTTACGTCACCCTAGGGAGTATGAGTTTTGTTTATAAGGTGGAGGATTCTGTACGAATTTGAAGAGATGACATCTTCATTTTGTACTCTAAAAACAGTGTAGTTGGGAAAACGAACGGAACCATAGCAATGCGAACGTAAAAGTACGAGGGCAATTTTTAAGACCCAACTGCGAATCGTACCAGTGCATCGCGTCACATGACATCCGTTCAACCTCAGATATTCTTGGCCATTCTCTCAGTATGCCGCCATTACGATTCACGTTTCTGTCGGTGTTGGTTTCCTGATTATACTGCTTCGTTGGTCAAGTTAAATACGCTCAGTAATTCGGTTTTTAAACTGACAGCTTGTTGAATTCTCTGCGAGCAATTCAAACCCACCAGCGGGCCTGCTATCTGGCAGCTTCAATCTGCTTCACGACAACGCTCAGTCTCAAGTTGAGGCAGGAACACAGACGCAACTGAACAATCACTGGATCATCAGACATTCATCTTTTTCCAAAACTTGAGAAACTTCTTGATGGAGAGTGCTTGGACAATTCTGACGTGTTGATAGAAACAGTTATATTTAACGCCGTGGTCCAACAGCTGATTCCGCGATTTGAGAAATGCTCAAATATTTATGGTTACTACGTTGAAAAGTGAAAGAATGTTCATATTTTAGTTTATGATTTATGTTCTTGAGCTTCTCTGTCTTCATTAAAAAACGGCTCTTACTCAAGAGTCATGTCAGTCAATATGGAGAACGTAGTCGTGCAGCAGCATTTTTGGGTGTGAACAGTTTCCAAGCACGGTCTTGAGTAAGCCTGGTACAGAATGAGCAGGCTGATGGGCTTCAGGTAGTTTTTCTCAAAGAGAAATATGACGGGGTGAAAAATGGCTTTGTATGAAGTGTCACACAATTCCTATTCCGTTTTAAGCCAATTATGCAAGATTGCGCCTGTCGCCATATTGTTAGTTTTAACTATTACTTTTACATTGAGATATAGTGTTCATACAATAATTACATGAAGCCAGACTTTAGCCTGCTAAGTTGACATATTAAAAGCCCATTCATGTGTGGAGGTGTGTACACTTTCTAACAGCACTATACAGGGTGTAAACGTTATGATAGTCATTATTGAAATAAGTGATAGGGGAGGTCAAAACAAGTCAAAAAGTTTATATGACCCATGGTCCAAAAGTCAATAGATTTTTGTCTAGATGGCTTTATAGTTTACAACTTTAAATGCTTTATATCGACCACAATCACCACAATCTTACTAATTTTTATAATCTAATCTAAAACATTTTTAAATCGGGTAATTAACAAATAAATGGCATTAAGTTAAGCCAAAATTTGTAGTCAGTAAGTAAGTAAGTTTCATTAAATTAAATACTTAAAACACACATCACAATAGCGCGTCGGTCTTTCATCACTCTTATCGAACCGGCAATCTATTGCAAGCGGTAACAGTGGTTAGTTGTCGTTTTGCATAGATAAATTACTTTATCTTTTGGTCGAGCAGAGAATCGGGCATTCTGTTACTGGTTTTTTCACAAAAACATTGAAAATCCGGATTTTCTTAAAAACATTCTAGCGACGGACGAGTGTACTTTTACGCGAGACGGTATATTAAATTTCCATAACACCCACACGTAAGCCCAAGAAAATCCTCATACCATTTGTGAAGGTAATTTCCAACAACGTTTTGAAATAAATATTTGGGCGGGTATTCTTGACGATCAGGTAATTGGCCCTTTCGAGTTACCCCCAAAGTTGTCAGGAGAAGGGTACCTTAGCTTTCTAGACAATTACCTACTGGAACTTTTGGAACAGCCCTTAGACACCTTAGACAACATGCCATTACAACAGAGACAGAATTTGTGGTTTATTCAGGATGGAGCACCACCACATATTTTTAGAGGCGTCATTAAGCATTTGAATGAACATGATACAAATCGCGGGATCGGTCGAAATGCTCCTGATCTTCGAAAATAGTCAGCAAGAATCGACCACTTCGAGGACCTATAGTAAGAAGAAACTGGGTTCGTCGTAATGAAGCTTGTGTGGAAAGTGGAGGAAGACCTAGCCAGCAGCGGTGGCCGCAATAGTAGAGTCTTCGGTCTCCTGATCAGTCGCCGTGCGCTGTGCGGGTTCGAGTCCCGTCCCAGGAGAAATTTTTCTCTTAGCTATGAATGTTGTGATTGTCCGTAGGTGGTAGACGGTCGCTGACTGTCGAACGTGGAGGTACCACCCGGCGGATCTCGTAGGCGGAGCCAGAATGTGTGCATGTTGCATGCACACGTGTTCCCTCGCCAGAGTCCGTGTGGCGTTCCCCCTTTCCCCTGTGTCCCCCTATAGCACCACGGTACCCGATGGGTGTTTGAGCCTTAGGCCTTCGTGGTAGTTGGAGTATAAAAAAAAGACATTTGGACACCTTCTTTAAATACAAAAAAAGTGCAGTGTGGGTCTTAAAAAGAAAAACAATGTATGTATCAAAATTGTGCTCCCTATTTATACGTGGATTTTTTTAATACGTTCAATAAACTTTCACACACCAGGTGAAGCGCTGAGACAGTCCGTTTTTTTTAATTGTTTGCATTTTACGAGTACATTATCAAATAATGCAATAATACCTAAGAGCCAAAAATGACAAACTCCATCGTTATTTACACTGCGTTCCGTCGTAATTTGCGTCTGGCATTGCGGCGATGTCAGATTTTATTTTACTTTAATGTCGCTTTTCTCTAAAAAACTATCGTTTTGACCCCCATGTTAAATGAAACTTTTTGCTTCTTTTAACGCTTTCTAACACCCGTTCAAATAATGACTATCGTAACGTTTGCACCCTGTATACAGGCTGTGGCGTAAAAAGTGGATAACCTTTAACCTGCAGTTAGAGGACATCACAGCGATTGAAAAAATTCGAAAATTGTGTCTCGCAAAAGTTGCAAGGCTTTTAGTTTTTGTGACGTCTTTCAAATTTAGAGGAAATGGGCACCTTCACTTACTGTTTTAAGTCTCGTGATAACACATGAAGGGTTTTTCTCATTCTTTTTTCATCTTGGATACATGTGCCATGAAATATGAATTGCCATTTTCGTGCTACAGTTTTAATTGTTTTTTAAAAAAATTATTATAACTCGAAAAAAATTGATTTTTTTCTCTTAAGTTTGTCTACGTGTGGTGTCAATAATATTGAGGTAACGTAGTGAAACAAGTCGTGAATAACTTGCCAAGCAATGCATTGAGATTGAAAATGCTTCAATACACCGTATTGCCTGCTATCAATTCAAAGGATACTCCTAATAAGGTTAGCTAAGACTGCTATTTCTTCAAATACAATTTCCACTTAAATAATAAATATGGAGAAATCACATTTGCCTAGCTAGAGTCGAGATTCCTTAATAGCCTCACCGCACGCAGTGGTTTGTGTAGTGACTTAGATCTTCCATCTGGTGAATAGCCCAATCTTGTGAAGGGAAATGTCTCAGTACAGTCCAATGGAGTATACTCAAATTCATGTTATTTATGGTGATTGTGGTGGTAATGCATACACGGAAGGCCGGCACTACTGTCGATGGTTCTAACTCTTGGAGATCATCGTTACATGATGAAGAAACCGTGTTGGAGGAGATTGCCGCTGATCCAACAATGTCAGCGCGAGACATATCGCCAAGAACAGGCATCTCTACGAGGACAGTTCACAGAATGTTGAAACGGGAACAGCTACACCCTTATCACTACCAACGAGTTCAAAATCTACTTCCACGGGACTATCCATTAAGACTTCCGTTTTGTATGGACATGTTACGGAGAATAAGAGCCACTCATGATTTTTTCGACCAAATCTTTTGGAGTGACAAGTCAACTTGTACAAAACATGGATATGTAAAAATGCATAGCTTACACAGTTGGCAGCTCATCAATCCCTATTTAGTAAAAGAAGATACGTCCCAATATCAATTTGAAGTAAACCTTTGGATTGGGACTTTAAACGGACAAATTCTCATTGGTAAGTATCAGCTGAAACAGCACAAGTGACCCTGAACTCCCCCTGTACGTCATCGAGACGCGAGCCCACATGGTTATTCATGAAGAATAAATTTGTTGGGAAATAAAGCCATGGCTAAGGATTAAAAAGTGCTTTCTAGCCTCGTATGTAAATAGGGGTGAGAAATATACAGCTACACTGGCATTGTTGAATGCTGCATCAAAAGAGAGACTTCGAGCTCCAGTGTTGTCAAGTTGAATGAGAAATCGTTGCTAAAGTGTTGCCAGAAGATTCCTAGACTCATTTAACTTTTCATCAAGGAAAAATAACGGAATATTTTTAACGGAAAAATAACCATAATCTTCTTCAAGAGCCATTTTTTTCCTTTTGGAAGCAAGGAGTTTGATTCAGTTTCGTCTCAGCCATGAATCTGTAACGCTCGCCAGTTCAGATCCTATAAGGAAGAAATCGTCTTCACACGTTTATTAGCTAGATCATTACTAACTGTAAAGTGTAGCAAGGTGGGCAGTTACTAAAGATTTAGCGAATCGTTATCATAGAGTTAGTCAAACTGATTAGTTAGGTGAGAAGATCATGATAATGTTCAATATGTGAGGTGGCAGACAGATTTGTCTAAAAATATCGAAGCCGGAATTCGTGTGGACATTCTAAAAGTGTAGTTCTTTTCACTGCTTCTGTCAGCTGTCATTAATTTCATACGAAATAAGGGAACGTTTTGACTAGCTGTATCATATGCAAAGATAAACTTCCCGAACGGAAACTGCTCAAGTCGATCCTCAACGCTGCTACTACTCGTTCTTAGACACCCACATGGATTGGGTGATAGAAGACCGTCCACTTTTTCGAAGAGCTCCGATAAATTTAGCACAGACTATCGACATTGTGGTTGTATATTTAAGCAACGCTATGTTTTAACTGTCGTACTGACAGTGACAAGCATAAAGAAAGACGACTTGACAAAATAGGATAGCGTATGTTTGAGTTTACGATGACAAACTACGCGCGTGGGGGCCTATTGCACATGCACGTGCTGAGGAAGATGGATGTATAGAAGTTATCCCTGTAGTTCTACTATGTCCCGCTGGAAACCGTATAGCTTGAGGTTGGTTTTGTTATCAGTTTAACACAACAATTGCTGAGTAGCAAGAACCACCGACAAAATGACATATCAAATGGTGGCCAATAAAGAAAGAGGGAGAGAGCGAGAGGAAGAAAGATGTAAGATAACTTTAACCTATTTATCATTGTATTGCCGACAATACTCCTCGAAAAATGTCGCACATTACGATTTATCTACTAATTTTTATTCGTTATTTTGCACCTCACTTCTCTATTTCTTTACTTACTCTGTGACATTTGATCTGAAGAATATTTAAGAAGCTGTGACCTTTAACATCTGAACATTACTTAATTGCACTTTTTATCATCAAGTGTATAGTTGTAGTCACCGTTCTTGGTGGGCCAAAGTAAGACTACCAGTATCCCATGATATAAACATTATGCTCCTTAATGATATGCGAATATTTAACAATTTATTTGAGTATTCTCACTGCTAAATGAGTAACTATCAAGAGTGAGTAAGAACCGTTTTGTAAGGGTGTCAGAGGATCGTTATTTATGAATGTAAAAACCAAGACAAACTAAAGTATGAGAATTTTTCCATTTGTCAAAATAGTGACCATAAACATTTAAACATTTGTTTAGTAGTGGCATACGTTTCTGGATTCCATCAAAGGTCGCTACCGCCTGACCGTTCAACCAGGTATACCGTAACTATCTAAAACTATAATGACTCATCGACGTTCACGTGAACGTCAATCAACCGCCGGTAGTCGGGTTGTCAGTGGCGGGGTACGATTTTTTAATGTGGGTGAACTGGATTTCTTTTATATGTCTTTCCACTTGTTTCCTGACTTCCAGTACCTCCACTCCCAGTCTCACCCTCCATGGTTAAGAAAATATAAGTGTAACTCGAATAATAACAACAGACGTAACCAAATAACAATATTTCTAACAACAAACAATATCACGCGGTAACCCGATTCTCAACGAAACAAGTTCCAAGCACTACTAGTCTATGTCAATGTATCGGGTCTTGTAGCGTGGAAGCGTTGTGGCGTCATCTTATGTCAGGACCGGAATCAGTTTTCATTCTTCCTTTCAGTTTAACTATGGTAATATTCATGCGCGTCCCATGGTCTTAGCATGTTTGTTAATTTTGACTGGTTTAAATGTTTTATTACAAGTAGACGAGCTCATCAGTGGAAAAACAATACATTATGATTTTTAAGGCCACAAAGTCATTTTGAATTGCAAAAAGTTGCAACATATAAAATACTAATGCAAATGAGATATTTCCAAAAAAATTCAAACTTCTTACTTACTAGAATAACCCCACGGCTTCGCGCGCAGGATAGTCAATAGTGGTACAGGCAAACAGGACGCCGCGCGGTATCAGCTATTCGTTCATTGTTCAACAGCTGAATCGTAGTGCAAGATCCACATTGAGTTAGCAAATAAATCCGACTATAGATTTCTCGAGATAATAAGTATAACTTGGCGAATTTTAATGAAATTTCGTGTCTCATGGCGATGAGACAAGCTTACTTGAAGGAAAAAAAACTGAAAATCACACGAGCGGGCTGAAATGAAAGCCAAACCGCTTGAGCAAACCAAGCCATTAGACACCCGTTCCGAAACAGGCAAGTACCTAATAAGGCAACCAGAGAACGATGAAAATGACTATTTTCCAACGAAAATCGTTATCGTATCTTGTTTACAAGAGATCCCTATATGCTTCCGCGGATTCTTTAGTTTTTTTTGAAGACCCTTATTTTCGTATTCAGATAAGAGATAGACCGGACGTAAACAAAAGGTTCGGGTGATTTTCACGCTAACGCCGCCGTCTCGACGTAAAACAGGAGCCCTCATTGGTCAATTCGCAATTAAATGCCTATGCCGAGCGGCAGAGCAGTCGTATCAAGGCAGAGTCACATTCAGGTTCAGACGTGTTACGTATGTCGTGTGCATCATTGCAATTTGATATTTCTTTGGACGTTTTCGTTTGGTATCTTATTAAGTTGTTGAGTTTGTCGTTGTTATTGTTATACCTTGTTATTGATTGTTATTGTTATCAACTGCTTGCGCAAAATGCCCAGTAGTACAGATACTGCCGATGAAGTTGTAAACTCCTGTAGTCCACCTAGGAAACGCTCTAAAAAAAGACACCTGAGTGCAGAAATGAAAGAGGTCATTTTGAATATATATAAGATCGAGCGCGAGGAGAACGAGGCATCAACCATCAAAGAAATTGTTGTGAAGGTTTCTCACAAAGTTGGGGT